CAGATATTTTAGATTTTCATCTCACCTAAATATAAAATTAAGATTGGGCACTGATTTTCATAAACTGCATAATAATGATGCTGACGGTTGTATGTTGTAGGCAGCTGAATACAACATATTTGAAGGAATGGAGCTCCGTGGAGCCCCACTGGTTGTCATATGTCAGGGAAAGATCATGCTTGAAGATGGCAACCTTCATATAACACAAGGGACAGGACGATTCATTCCTGGCATCCCATTTTCAGATTATGTCTACAAGCGCATCAAAGCAAGGAGGAAGGTAAGACAAACCTGGATTGTAATATGAAATTACTGTCTGAAACAGTGTTAAGGAAAGGGACAAGAAAAATATTCAGACCGTTGCAATATTTCATCATTTCATTTGAAAGCATTTGGGAGATTCCTAAATTGGAGTGGGACTCCACTAATAAATCCCTAGTCTTTACATCAGTGCTTCAAAAATCTTACAATTAGACACATTTTAATGGAAGAGCAGAAGAAAAAAAATCGTTAGTGAAAGACATAAGCTAATTACACCTTTAGTTTCCTCTGTAAACTTCATTTTCTTCTTGTTGTATTGCTTTTAGAGGGTAGCATGATTCTGTGTTTAGATGTCCAACAGCGTCTGGATTATATTAGCTGTTTTTCAGTTTATAAATAAGGATGAAACTCAACAAGCAAGCTGTCGCAATAAGCCTGCTCCCTCCCCACCCCACCCCACCCCACCCCACCCCACCCTCTCCATCACATGTCTGGTATCACAACAAAATAGATATTAAAAAGGCTTTTGTATATTTAATTACATACACACTGTTTTCCACCATATCCAAACATGTGAGTGTATAAGATGGTGATAAGAGATTTTTGTGTGAAAATCTATCCAAGATGTTGAACATCTATCGCTCATAAGAGGAAGTCCAGGGTCATTATTACAGTTGTAAATTTTGCTTCCTTTCATTACTTCTGACAGATGGCTGAAATGCATGCTGTGCCAAGGGGCATGTATGATGGGCCTGTGTTTGATTTGACTACCACACCTAAAGGAGGTACCCCTGCAGGTTCTACTCGGGGTTCTCCTACAAGGCAGACAGCACCTGTAAGGAATCTTCACCAGTCTGGATTTAGTTTATCAGGTAAGTAAGACAAGATTGCACTGATTGCAACAGAAGCCAAGAAGAGAAGTCCCAGTAATATTTGGTATATTTTCCCCTAGTTACTCCAAAATCTTTGCCTCTGTGCCACATTGGTAGGCCTCAAATGTTATATTGGAAAAAGAGGACTATATGCATGCTACGGCTTTCTGGAACATATTGCTGACACTACTCATAGATCACATTCCTTCTATTTCGTTCCTACATAACAAATGATATGTGAGGAAGCCAATTCATAAGAACAGCAAGAGAGGTGACTCACCTCTACATGTGTAATCCATCTCCGGTTCTTTCTACATGGTGATCACAGATATATCCAGAGCTGACCAGCAAGTTTGCTTAAATGCATGTTTGTACATAATAAGCTAAGGACTATTTCTCCAGCAGATTTTCAAAATGGAACAGCAGTATATTAATAGTCCTCTAACTTGTATATTTTTTTCCTCTCCCCCTGTTATATATGCTCCGCAGGTACTCAGATTGATGAAGGTATTCGCTCGGCCAGCAAGCGCATAGTAGCCCCTCCTGGGGGGCGTTCCAATATAACATCTCTAAGTTAAGCTTCCAGTCATTGGGAAAAGAAAGAAAATGGAAAACCATTATTTGGGAAAACAGAGCAATGGTACCTTGATATTTAAGAAAAAAAAAAAGAGCAATGGAGAATTCAGATTTTGAAGAATCAATAAGCCTCAAGCCTTATGTTTCATAAAATGCTACTCGCTACCTAGCTTTAAAAAAATATTGCGGGTTTTCTTTTTTGTTTATTCATAGCCTTAATATTTTCCCCATTTTTTTACATGCATGCAAATCTGACAGGTGATTAAGTTAAAAATATGTAATTGTACACAGTGAGTGCTTGTGCAAGGAACTCGTAAGAAAGGGGCTGGAGAAAAGAGGGAATGGCATGAGCAAGCTCTTTAGCCAGGGTGCTTGTGCAGAATCAACCCAGGAGTTTAGAATGGGGAGGGGGGGCAGAAGATGGTGGGCCAAGGTAGTGGGAGGTGGATTGGGGGAGGGGGGAGCCAGTAGATCTTTGTATTGTGTCCATGTTCTTCTGTTTCCACTCAGTGCTGATGAGACAAAGATGCCTCAAAACAATCATGAGGCTGTTGGAAAACTCAAATCATCTTTGTAATGGCTCTGTTGTATCACATTTTCTTGTTAGAAATTTTATTACTTCGTACATTTTATTGAATAAAAAATTGAAAGACATTTTCTTTCTAATTGACTTGCTTCGACAAAGTAATGTGTGTCTCTTTCATTTCCGTCCCTTGGAACAAAGCAGATTGGGGAAAAAGGATGTGATTGTGGATTGCAGGAAAACACATCCAATTAGTTTAGGATTGATATTTACATTAACTTATTTACTGTCCATCCATGCTGTCTGTTTTCACATCACATAAAGTTATTAGTGACTCGCCCAAGGAAGTTGTAGCATCTTCTTTCCTCAGGAGGGCCTGATGGCGATACTTTCAGTATTTTCATTTCTCCCTCCAACTGTGGAGAGAGAAGAGAAACCTGGGTGCCTTTGATTTTGCAGAGCTCTCAAATCAGTCGAATTGCCACTTCAGTTTTGAAGTTTGAAAAGATAGTCTACTGCAGAACAAGTCTGACCTTCCTCCCTTGTATATCTTCATTGTCCATCAGTTGTTGATTATCATTTTTGCAGCAATGGAATACACATTTTTAATTTGCTCTGAGAGATTGTGCTTATTTTGGAAAGCACTTGCTTTCATTTAAGTAAGCAAGTACTAAGCAAAGTAAAAACAATTTTCTCTCATTTCTTCCTGCCATTATCAGAGTAACACTTTGAAGGGAAGAGTTCTTTTTTTAAAAAAAGAAAGCTTGAAAGCATGCTATTACAATAAAACTGTAGATTTTCATCCACCCACTTAGAACTGTCTACACCTGCTATTGTCGTATATATTGTCAAATACATCTTTTCAAAATCTTTTGAATGTCTCTGACCTGTATACAAAGGTCAGATGTCAAAAAAGAGAAAAGCTTGTGTTCCCAATCTTACCTGCCTCATTCCTGCTATTTCTGTAAGGTAACTTTATAAGCAATTACTACTACTTTCATAGGAAGAGAACTTTTTCCTTTTGATCCCTATATTGTGAATGGTATACAGGTATATTACTCTTGTGGATTGTTCTAGAATTAATGTGCAACAACACGGTTAAAAATGTTTAATTGCCATTCAATCTAATTAGTTTGTAGAAGTATTGTAGAATCAAATGCACTTAATGTAAATGTTAATATTCTTCAATAGAAAGATGCATTTCTTTCAGAGAAAATTCCAATTTTAAGGTAACTTCAAATTATTCAGATTTCTATTTTTGTTTTTGTATCATTTAGGGATATTTTTTGTGTATTTTTCAAGTTGCCACATGGTGGTGCCAAACAACAAATAAAAGCAGTCTGCTAAAATATGGGGATAGGGACAACTAAGATGAAAATATGTATTTATATTCTTTGAAATTCAGATAGCAAATATCGGACTTTCTCATCTCAAACAGCTGTGTGTTTAGAGCAATTATGTGACAAAGATAAACTGATTTTCTGTTATCTGGAGGAGATATTGTTTTCTGTGCCCAGCAATGAGTTTTTACTGAAAAAAAATATGTAAAAATCTATGGAAGTTTTACTAAGGAAAATTGCACAACGTAAATAATGCTCATGTTTTTAGTGGAAACTGCTATTCAAAATACATGATGAGGCTTAACATGCAAGCTATGCTGCTTTTATGAAACAAAATGTTTATAATGAAAGCTCTAAAAGGTTTCCAATAAAATGCTCTCTAAATATGCCCTTCAGCCTTTTCTATGGCTTTTCCATTGTTTTTCCTAATGTTCTGACATTTTGATTTTCTAATGTTCTGACAATATTCAGAATTTATTTAGGCTTATTGTCTTATTCTGTGGCAGGTTCAGTTTCAACAAACCAACACAATTGGGCCTGTTGGATTGGCTCAGGGTGAGTTAATGCCCAAATAGAGAGGCCATACTTGAAGTAGAGAGTGGATTAATTTAGAACGGGTGGACAATTTTCCCAAGAGGCCACATGGGAAATGGACTGTAATGGAGGACCGAACCAATAGGGCGATAAAGGTGCACACGCATGTATAAATTGAAAAATAGTTGCCTTCAAAATAAAAACAATGTAGTTGTATTGTCTGCATGGCATACATTTTATTTTTTATTTTAATATTTTATATTTGATTTCTAATTTCCAATTGACCTGATGTGGGCCAGATAGGGAAAGATGTAAAATGTTCAGGTCTTGTCTACTACAAGATCAATTTGGGAGTATTTTTGCTACCAAAACAGCATGAATTAGACATTATTGTCATGGCTTAACAACTGCCAAAATCTGAACTCCCAATGGTCTGCTTAGTGCTGCCTTTCCATGGATTTTTCCCGTCACCCTACTTCAAGTAATCATAAAGGCTGACTAAATCACTGCTGATGTGGTTCATTCAAATATGTTCCATTGTGACTTGGCATTTAAACAGGATCTAAAACATTTTCCATGCTGATAATCACTGTCATAACTATCTCTGCAATTTACATCAATCTTTGAAAATCAAACAATCTGAGCATATCCTAGTGTGACTTGGCATCTAAACAGGATCTAAAACAGTGGGAGGGCAGAGGAAATTTCCCAGGGTTTGGAGTCACAATTTGCATCAACCTCTCCATTATGGACCAGATAAACAAGAGTGGATCATTGTTTTAAAAATTGGAGGGGGGGGTGTTCATTGAAATGCTAGAATTTTATGGCTGTAAAAACCTATTGTCCATCAATCGAGCTTTGAAAAAATAGGATACAATGGAGCACAGCTGCAACTAAGAGTTAATACAACTTTATTTTGAGGCTTTACAAAATGAAAAAGGTTAGTGCACTGCAAAAGGCCCTTACAGAAAGGCTAACTAACTTTATTTATAACATGGAAGAGAGAGGAAATGCTACTTTTAACATTCTAATTAGCAACTTCTTCACATTTTTAACAGACATGGAAGCTTCTGTCCCTATTCTCTTTCCATCAGAAGAAAAGAATGATGCCCTTCTAAATCTAACTGAACCAAAAGAACATTAATTGGTATTTATAATTTACTCTTGTAAATATTACATTTACTTTGTGTTTCTGTTCCTGGGAAGATTATTTGGTGGTGATGAGATCAGAATAGCAGGTAGTAATAATGTAATCTGTATATATGCTCTTAAAGGGCCCAAATAACCATTAACACATTCTTTTCAATCTAAAAAGTCTACTGACATAAGAGTCCCTAAAGTTTCTGGGTTAATATAGTGCTGTACAGCAGACTTAAGTAACTGTGCTGGCTGTGGAGAATCAGATATGAAGTCTCACACATTTAAAGAGCATTTAGAAACAGCTGTCCTTTGAACCAAACCATTCTGGGATATCAATTTAGTCCAAATCTTTCTATATCACAACTGGAATTGTGACCATTCATGTATTGGGAAAAAAATCCTAGTAATTAGTAATTTTCAGTGAAAAGAAAAGTTTTGGAGGCAAGATTTGCCCTAATATATTACCTAGAGAATGATGGAGAATATCTGAGGATTGGCCTGTACTCCACAGAAAGACATATGATATGTTTATCATTTAGATGCAACGATGTATTGTTTTTTTGCCTTAATTGTCCTACTGCTACTAGTGGAGTTAAATGAACAATGGCAGCAGAAGGAGGGTTGACTGTCTCCTTCCTTGGTCTGCTGGCTTGTCTGGTTCGCAACCCCCCCCCCCAAAAAAAAAAAAAAAACCAGAAATGTGATCAATTGCATTTAATGCTTTGTCTTTTTCAGGCACTTTGCTGGTATACAGCTTTTGGACTGATTGCTCTAATGATCCATGAGAAAATTGCTGAACTACAAATCCTTGTACCCAAAAAATGGCCACATTGGACTTGTAGCTCTGTAGCACTTAACAACTGTATTAATTTTGTCCTAGGTAAAATATTCTTGCTGGAACTGAGCAGCCTTAATTTGGGTGAGAATTAAAGAAAAATGTGGATTTTATCTTTAGAAGCTGCCTGAGAGTCAAGATAGCTGACTTGTACACTTATTCTATGAATTTTATATATTACATAGGAGTAGGATTAGATGATCCCTGTGATCTCTTCCAACCGCATCATTCTAAGAGTGCTGAAGTTTTAAATCCAAGCAACAAATAGCTGAAAAATTGGGACAAAAGCTGAATGAGGGGACCAGATGAAATGTAGATAAACTTTGTGTGACTGAAAATTGCCTTTTACATCTGCGGAGGACCCGGAACCACAATGGGCAGAACAATTGTGTGAAGTAGATGGAACCACAACATGTACATAGGAAGGGTCAAGATTTTCTGTTCGCCCCACCCAACAAAAATGTTGCATCAATTTTAGGGTGTGCACTAAAGTTTTGTGTGTTTTGTGCCTCTTAACGGTGGGAATTCCATTGATTTTCATTAAAATTTCATTCCTTCCAGTTGGAAGGAGCCCAATCCTGGGCTAGATTTTCTGGAGCCATATCTATCCATCTGTTTCAGGAAGGAAGGAGTACATGAAGTGAGCAGCTATGCCCTGATCATTCAGTCTGGTTCAGCAGGCCAAACAGAATGATAGTGGCAAAATGGAACCCGAAAATCATCGCTTAGCTATCTGTCCATATGGGACGAGAAAAGCTACAAATGCAGTAAGGATCTAGTTATTGAGCTTATTAAATTATAAGCCTAAGTGAACATTTCCCCCCATTTGCGGGGTAGCAGATTTATCTGTTTTAAGCAATCCGGAGAAAGGAGGTCTTCCATCACCTTTTGCTATCCTTTGCATTCAGAGGAACTACCTTGTTGTAGAGGAAAATTTCAAAAAAAATTTAGGATTAAAAGAATGCAGAAAGCATCCACTGATCCAATTGCCTACTGGGCTATCCCAGTAGACACAGAATCCATCCATGTTCTCTTCTTAATGATAATGCACACCGGGTGGACATAATCAATTCACTTTTCTTTGGAAATCAAAGAGATTGTATTGGTTGAGAATGCTTTTACATTTTGTACATACAGAGAACGAAACAAAGAATCGAAAGTCACTAGAAAGCAAGTGACCTCACAGTGGTATTTTGATTCAAACTACAAACAGGCTTAGAAAAAGATTTCAGCTTGACAATGTACAATAATTGTCAATGTAATTTCCTACTTCCATTGTATTAGCCTTTTGTCTAACAATGTTGTATCTGGGGAAGAAAGAACAGGGAAAGGAGGACTAAGAGGACTAGAGCCATAAAGCAAAGCAGAGCAAAAAATTAGGTCAAACATAAAATTGCTCCCCATAAAGAATTATGCTTAACCTGGGGTACTTGTAACATTAATATACTCTTTTCTTGCCAATTTCAAACAACCTGGATTTTTGCTGTCTCTTCCCAACTACACATAATAACAAACGGTACTTCAGGGTACAAAGTTAATAGTTTGACATTAACTGTACCAAGCATCTATTGGTCCCAAGAGCCATCAATGGTCTTTTACTAAATGATCACAGATAGTATTTCTTTATGATAGTTGCAGACTTAAACATTTTTAATGATTGCCATCCATCCCTTGCAAGAAATGGAATGACCCCTTTCACTTACTAGTGAATTCTACTTATAAAATGGCCCTAGTGAATTTATCTTGATTTGTATGTCCCATTCTTCCATTTCCTGATTCACATAATGTACACACAGACCTCCCAATCTGAAGATATACTGGATATATTCTTAAGAACTAATTCATTTAAAAGTACCAATAAGTGGAAAACCCCCACAGCAAAAATATTATTTCCTCTTATTCTGTGTCTGATATATTGTATATAGTCAGTTACAAGTATTTTTAAAATGATTTTCATTTTGAAGTCTATTGCACTCTAAGGCAGAGTTATGATTCAGCTCTATTTTTTTAACTTCTAAGAAAATGTGGAGCTACCCCCTCTAGCAGCCCTGCAAAGACCTTTTTCCCATAGGCAGTGGATTTAACCCAATTATCAGCAACTTTGACATTTTACCAACAGAAATTATACCTATAAAGTGAACTTAACCTTTCCCTATTTGGAGTGCCTTTTGCACAGTACTTAAAGAGCATACTCTTTCCTGTTAATGGTCAAGTGGCTTAAAAAAATAAAAACAGGCATAAAGACGGTAATCTGTGCCTTAAGTAGTTCTGCAGGATTGTAGGCCACAAGTCCTTATGGTGGGAAGAGAGACTCAGCATCTAGCCTCAAGGTTCCTTAGCAAGGTATCTGCCTTGTCTTGAAAGCAGTGTGCAATTTTATCTGCTAAGCTCCATGAGCTAAAGTAAAAGCCTGCCCTTTTCGGTAGCAGCACCTGAGCAAAAACTACATTGATCTCAAAGATTATTATTCTGATCGTCATCTTCGTTGTCTTTGGTTTGTGTCACTTCGTTGTCTTTGGTTTGTGTCTCTTCGTTGTCTTTGGTTTGTGTCACTTCGTTGTCTTTGGTTTGTGTCTCTTCGTTGTCTTTCGTTTGTGTCTCTTCGTTGTCTTTCGTTTGTGTCACTTCGTTGTCTTTCGTTTGTGTCACCGTCAAGTTCTCCTGCATTTTGTTATGTTCTTGTCGTGCCCTAAAATGTATAAAAGAGAAACCAAAGTCCATCATCAGATAGCAATAAAGTCCAGCAGTTCTCAAAAATCTTACCATCTGCATTGGGCAGGGGGTGCCTTTGAGTTTGTCCCTTCAGTTTCTTGGCAAAACTTCAGAAATGATTTGCTCTTGCCTTCTTCCTAGTACTCCCAGGCTGGCTTTATGCCTAAGGCAGGACTAGAACTCACAGTCTCCTGGTTTCTAGTCTGGTATCTTAACCAGGATACCAAACCTGTCCTCACCTTCTGCATTAGTCAAGATACAATCAGTTCTCCTTTTATCAGGTTTGCTATGATTCCAGTTATAAAGGCTGTATACCATCCATTTCAAGAACTTATTGCTTGTTAAAAGTCTCTATTAATTGAATGTCTTAAGCCACCGATCAATACTTAAAGATCCAGCCCATAATATCCTATAACTTCCATACACTATGCAATGAAAATTTTGCTATGCTGGAAAGTAGATAATCACAGAATTTATAAGAATGATCTCAGAAAGTCAAGAAACGGAATTATGGGAGCCCTCAACTTATGATGAAAATTGAGACTGAACCAGAGGTGAAATCCAGCAGGTTCTGACAGGTTCTGGAGAACTGGTAGCAGAAATTTTGAGTAGTTCGGAGAACTGGCAGATACCATCTCTGGCTGGCCCCAGAGTGGGGTGGGAATGGAGATTTTGTGGTATCCTTCCCCTGGAGTGGGGAGGGAATGGGGATTTTGTGGTATCCTTCCCATGCCACACCCACCAAGCCACGCCCACAGAACCAGTAGTAAAAAAATTTGGATTTCACCACTGGACTGAACCTGTGTCACTAAGTAGTGTGTTAAATGAGTTGTGCCCAATTTTACAACCCTAGTTATTAAGCAAATCACATCAAGCAAATTTGACTTCTCCCATTGACTCTGCTTATCAGAAATGGGAAGGTCATAAATGGTGATTATATGAACCTAGGATACTGCAACCATTGTAAATATATGCCAGTTGCTAAGTGTCTGAATGTTGATTATGTGACCTCAGGGACTTTGTGACATTATAAGTGTGAGGACTGGTTGTACCTTAATTTTTTCAGCACCATTGTAACTTTGAATAATGAAATGAATGGTGGTAAATCAAGAACTACCTATATATTGAGAAAAATATTTACTGTTTGAACAGCTGCCTTTGTTATTTGCTCACCTACTACCTAACTGCAGCAGATACAATTTCTTTCTGGAAGGAGAACAAGGCAGAAAAAAGTAAAATAAAGCCATTTCAGTCATATTCAAAATTTAAATTCAGTGAGGTTTCCTACCTCAGTGAAATAGTTTGAGCAACAGCCAAATGAGAGCGTACAGCAATGCCAGGCTTCCAGTGCTTTTCTATGGATTTTGTGCCAAAATCACTACCTAATTATCTGAGGAACAGTAATCAGATTTCCTTAGTTCTAAGAAATCTTAATGATGTGCTAAGCTAAAGTTTATATTTTCAGGTCAACGCTTACTTTTCTCTGTTGAAAATTATGAAGTCCCTTTGTATTGATTCCAGGTTTTTCTGCAGCTGGCAGGCCTTATATTAAGAAAGAAAAAAGACCAGTTAATGAGAGTTCATCATTGTAGTATTTGATGCAAGAAGCCACTAAACTTATCAAGAAAGACATTTCAAAGGAATTCAAATGATTGATCCATGGACTAAATTATTAGCTGACTCTGTTGTGTACCTCTCTTAACAGAAACTAAATTCATCTAAGAACCTGGATCAAATGCATCGAATTTGATCAAGTATTATTTCTAGTTTATTTTCTTCAGTAGTTGACAATCCAATTTTTAGAATCTACCGTGATCTCTTTAGATCTTGGCTTACCTGAACAGAGGGCTCTAGTAGTAGTAGTAGTAGTAGTAGGCTAAGGATAATGTCCTTCCTCACTAATAGACTAAAGATTATGCCCTTCCTCAATGTATCTTGCTTTGTGAAAGTAATTGACTTAGTAGCAGTGATAATGAAGATACCATAGATTCTCTTGGGAGTAGCTAGAGTCAGAACTTATGGGCACGGATTCTATTCTTTCTCTCCTTCTTAATATCTATTTTTTTCTGGCTTTGTTTGTATCCAGTATTGGTGTAGAGAGGGGGAGAAAGGAGATACAAATCTGAAACAAGGAAGTTCTATTTCTTGATTTCTTTCTTTTTCACAAAAAAGGATGTGTTTTCCCTGCTTTGCTATAGTTTTCAGCCCAAAGCTAATGAACCTAGAAAAAAATTGCCAAAATCACTGTGCACTTTTTCTTATTATCTCTACCTTTCCCAGGGTTGTCCCTTCTTTCTATTCCCCTCACCAAACCTAAAGATAGCTAAAAAAATATAGAAAATTCTACTCTATCCTCTTGTTCTATTCTATTCTATTCTATTCTATTCTATTCTATTCCATTCCATTCCATTCCATTCCTATTCCTATTCCTATTCCTATTCCTATTCCTATTCCTATTCCTATTCCTATTCCTATTTCTATTCTATTCTATTCAATGGTAGGCTCCAAATTTTTTAACAACTGGTTCTCTGCCCTAATGACTGGCTGGCTGGCTGGCGGGTGTGTGTGTGTGTGTGTGTGTGTGTGTGTGTGTCATGTGACTCGGCATGGCCAACTCTACATCACTTGTGTGGTGGTACCTGTATGGGACAGGCAGGGTTGGGAGGGAATCCAGGGGTCTCCGGTGGGGGGTGGGGGTGGAGAAAATAACCTGTTTTTGTGTGTGTGTTAGAGAGAGAGAGAGAGAGAGAGAGACGGCGTCAAGCTAGACTGGGAAAGCTGGCTTATTCTTATTCTTTGCTATCATAACCTTGATGTAAGGTATTGCTCATAGAATTTAAAATAATCCAGAAATCTAAAACTGATATATCTATGGGCCTTTCCCAAATTTTGCAAAGTTTTCAAAAGATGCTCTTATATTTTAAAAAGTATTATAAATATACTGTAGCACCAATTCATCATTTAAATGCCAAGAATAAGAAAGCACAGAGGGTTACAGACTCCATATTTTGGCTGCTGTCCTACTCATTTGGGGCATTGCCATTAAAGTCAGTGTGATTTAGATCTGAGACTTCTGTCTTTTAGATCAATATACCTAATGAAAGTGGAAGACATTAAAATGCTTACATCAGCCAAACATCTTTTGGGCAATTCAGGCATCCAACTCTCTGTGCCTTACCTCTGAGGATTCATTTTTGTTGCTTTCCTTCTCCTTCTTAGCCAAGCGCTTCTTCTTTTTATGAAGTGGCTTTGACTCCAGGATCATTTCTTCAAGTTCAAAGGTTGGGTCACAGTTTAACTTCCCTTTCTATGGAAGAAAGCACACGCAGAGAGAAATTGTTACCCTTCCCCCGAAATAAAAGAAAGTAAAAGAAAGACATTTGCATGGACATTCTATGGTGTGATTGAACACCATAAAAGTGAACCAAAACAGATTCCCCAATTAAAACTATTAGGACTCTCTGAAATTTCAAAATTGAAATACAATATAGAGGAGAGCTTGAATTGGACAGCTAGGATCAATAATTATAAGAGTAGAAAAGCCTTTAACTCCAGACAAACATCAAGTCCTTCAGGCTGCAGTAAAGAGAGCACACTTCAGGTCCTCTCATCAAGACACAGCCACCTAATGGGACCTCAAGGACATGTCTGGATGGCAACTCCTGATTTTTTTTTTTTTTTAAAAAAACAGTGTTTCCCCCTCCCAAATATATGACTGGCCCATGCAGGCCTGGAGTCGCAATTGATTGAGTTGCTATATATTTTAATCTGGTTGCCATTTTATTGTTTCAGTTGGCTTTTAATGTATTGTGTTGCTTTGGGGAGGGGTAGGTACTTGTTGCTGAGTTTTGGGCAGTCCTAGAAATGTTATAAATGAATGAATGAATGAATGAATGAATGAATGAATGAATGAATGAATGAATGAATGAATTGATGTGCCACTTAATTTATCTTAATAATTAAACTATTGATTTTGGGTTTTTAGAAGTTTATGTTTCTCTTCAGACTTGACTCTGTTGGTGTGTGAAATCTGCACAATGATAGTTTATTGCTTTATGCATTAAGAAACGTGCCACAGTGTCATCATCATTATAACTCTAGTTTCTAAATTAAGAAAACATTCAAACTAAAATTCTTACATTAGGAAGAAATCCAGGCAATACTGTCTTCTGTAAAACAGCATCCCAGTTGATATCAGCCAAGTAAGGAAACTCTTGGATATGACTCAGTTGAAAAAATCTTTCTTCTGAATTCATTTCCACTAGCTAGAGATTAGAATTAAAGCAGTTTATTAAGTATATCAGAATAGAATACAACACAATTGCAGATTCAATACAGAAAAGGATGATATGTGCCTCTTTATGTATCTCAGACATAATAGGGAACCTCCAGCCTATGAATGTTTACAGTTCAAGAACTTCCATGTAGCCCATATGTGAGCATTCCAGAAAAAAACCCAACTCCAAGTAAAGACTCTGAAGCAAGCATTTTTCAAAGTTCTATTTACTAGAATAGGTAAACTGGCACATCTGGGAAAACCTGAATCTGAGAGATCCGAGTTTTCCCTCAGTAAATCAAACCCCCCAAAACCATCCCCTCACTCCTCAGTCGATCACATACTCCAATCAACCGCCGTCCCATCTCGAGACCTCACTCCAACCACTCCTCCTCCAGATGCAGGATCGCCCTGACTTTGACCGACAGGAAGAATGCTATTATGTCTACAGACAACCCCTCTACTAACCCCCCCTCCTACTTTCCCACGCATGAGAAGGTGGCAGCATGGAAGTTTCCAGCCTAATATGGCTTCCAAAGCTGATACCATAAGTTGTTGTGAATATCCTGCTCTGACTTTTCTTCAAATTCTAAGCTCCTATTCAGCACTTCTAAAGTCTTTAAAAAGATTACAACATCCAGTATTGTTGTTTCAGACAGAAATATTTGTATAAATAAACTTAACTGAAGGAGGATCAAGTAAGAAATGTCCAATGTAGTGTAGGATAAAACACTTTCCTATGTTCCTAAAATGATCCAGCATTTTAGGTTTTCCTGCATTCCTAAAATCAGAGCCAATCAAGTGCAGTGGGTGTGTGGAACTGTTTGATGTTGTAAAATAACATCACACTAGGTGTTAAAATGCATTCCAAGGGTGTGGGGGAGGAGAAACGTAGGATGACTCATAGCTTCCATATTTAGCAGCAGTCCTGAATCTCCAGTAATGTTCTACTCCTGATAGAATGAGTCAAAAGGCTTGGAAGACTTAGCATCTTAACCAACATCTGATCTCTAAAGCTCACTCACCTTTTTAATCAATGAGATCATATCCTGTGACCAGGCAGCAGGATACATGATGGTGGCTGTCTTGTACACATGCAAAATTTCATTGGCAGAATTACTAGAGCGAATGTGGTATGGTCTCTGCAAGGAGAGAAGAAGGCAAGGACACTGAAACACAGTTCGACATCCAACAAGAACAGATTAATGAATTCTCTCTTTTAGGTTAGAGAAGTTTTTTAGAGGAAAAAAAGTATCACTAGATTGTAATGGGCTGACAACTTCTCCAAGAGACTTCACTCTCTCTCCTCCTTCCTCAGAGTCCACTAATGTTCTTAGTTAAGGCATTGTGACACTGGGTAATTTTTTGAACACAGATCAACACAGGAAAGGAAGACAACAGAAAAAGTACACTTAAAAAGCAACATGTAAGCAACAGCAAGACATCAAACATTGTGCAACTGGTGTTTCACTCAATGCAAATTGAGTTCAAGGAAAATCATTTTAGTGGTAGGTGTGAATTCCTTCAACATTACTAGAAATACCATACTTAAAATTTGTATTTTTTTTTCTGAACTGAAATATATTCTCTTTTGAAATAAGACAAAACAGAATCAAAATGACACAGTTTTAAACATGCTCTCAAAATGTTTTGTAATAAATTCTCAGGACATAAATGCAATCAATTAAATTAAGGAGAGTATTTTCTCAGCATGCCTGCAGTAGTGGGCTATTTTCATTCAACTCTGAAAAGAAAATTAAACAATGGAAAGGCACTTCCAACCTGTTCTTGCATTGTACTAAAGAGCAGCACAAATGGTGCCAGCCATTAGAATTTGTGCAAAATTGCAGAACAGACTGCAATACTGGGCGATGCAAGCTCACCTGGCATGTCTGCCTATGCCTACCTCAGAAATTAAAAGCAAAACCTTTAGCTACCCCTGAGCAGGGGTGGGCTGCTGGGAGTTCACAGGGGTTTGGGAGAACCTCTAGCTAAGATTCTGTGCAGTTCGGAGAACCCCCAAATCCCACTTCTGGCTGACCCCGCCCCTCCCAGGAATCCCCACGTGGCCCATTTTGGATGCAGGTAAGTGCAGGGTGCACACAGAGGCTCAGGGAAAGCGAAAAATGGGCTTTTTCCGGCCTCCAGAGGGCTTCTGGAGCTTGGGGAGGCCATTTTCGCCCTCCCAGAGGCTTGAGGAAAGCCTCTGGAACATAGGCAGGGCAAAAACGCCCCCCTGCCGTTATGTAGGAGGCCAACTAGGCCACACCCACCATGGCCACGCCCACCCAGCAACCAGGCAGAGAACCCCTTGCTAAAATTTTTGAAGCCCACCCCTGCGCCTGAGCTTTTGTAAAGAGCAACCATGTCAAATTCTAGTCTCAACTTGCTGTCTGTTACCACCAGTACAACAGAATGACAAGTGAGGATGAAAAAAAAATGTGTCATAGGCACGTAGGGGAAAATAGATATGTTATTATTTCAGAATCATTAGCAACATCCATTCCCTACATTTCCAGGATGCAGTTTGGCATCGTCTCTTTATGGAACAGTTCAAGGCATAGCTTCTCACTTCAATCATCTGATTACGTTGGAATTTGTGCCCCTGGAATATGCAAGCTTTTCAATAGCATTTTTCTTACAATAACCAAGATTTTGCATTTCAGATAACAACTTTATCCAGAACCTATTTAATATTAGTTATGTGCTACAGAAAACAACCTGATAAATGTAGAATTCCATTCAGAAAAACAGGTCAGATAGAATGGGGAGAAGACAGAAACAGGAAGATTTGAAAACCATTAATCTAGGCACACATTCAGTAATGCTTAACTTTGGTGTAATTCGCTTTGCGTGTACACAGAACAACAGCAAAGAATACAGAAAATATAAGGCACTAACAGAGGTGGGTTTCAGCAGATTCTGACCAGTTCTGGTCAGTGGAAATTTTGAGTAGTTCGGAGAACTGGTAGTAAAAATTCTGACTGGCCCCGTCCCCATCTATTCTCTGCCCCCCAAATCTCAGCTGATTGGGAGGAAATGGGGATTTTGCAGTAACCTTTCCCTGGAGTGGGGAGGGAATGGAGATTTTACAGTATCCTTCCCCTGCCACATCCACCAAGTCACACCCACCAAGCCATGCCACGCTCACCAAGCCACACCCATAGAACTGGTAGTAAAAAAATTTGAAACCCACCACTGGGCACCATGTATTTGAGAAAACCATTTGCTTTTACAGTTTTTTTAAAACAATATAACCTTTTGATTGAATTGTAATAATTCAGTTTCATTTTGAAAATCAAACAACTATTTTAGAAGTAATTATAAAAGAAATTAGTTTTTTTTCTCCTCTGCATAAGGTGCAACTGGCATTAAAGATTAATATTCCCTTTAAACAAACATTACTGTAAAATAAAAGAAAACAAATGTGTTGTGCTTTAGAAATTTGAACTACCTCCAATAATCAGACAAGTATCATGTTACTTACTTGGAATTGTCCCACATACTCCGCTCCAAGAAAATCACCCTCCTACCCATCCCCAGACTGCTTCTAATGGATCGTATATGCCTAGATAATTTTTTTAAAAATGGTACAAATACCCTCGAATAGGAAGTTATACATGTGATACCGTACTATCCCTAAGATAAAGAACAGAACAAATAAGAACTTGCATATTTACACTATAATACATTTCCTACTTTATTCATATGTTTCATAAAATGCCTACTGTCTTCTACACTATCCACTACACAGTTTGAAAATATGTTATGACCCAACGAACCAATAAGGCCTGTTGCAGCATGAAATGTGTTGGGTTACTAATTCGCACACAGCAGGCCACTTCTTCAGACTGCATCCTTGATCCATAATTATGAAAGGATCTTTTGAAGTATAGTTCAATTTTTTTTCCTTTGAATTGATGATATTTTTATGATAAACTTTACAGCACACATTGGCAATTATCAGTAAATTAATCTCTTTAAGCAGAACAGCTTCTCTTTAGAATTTTAATGACCCTATTACAGGTAGTCCTCAACTTACAACAGTTCATTTAGTGACCATTCAAAGTTACAACAGCACTGAAAAAAGTGACCTCTGACCGTTTTCCATACGTATGACTGTTGTGGCATCACCCAGGTCACATGTTCAAAATTCAGAAGCTTCGCAACTGACTCACGTTTATGACAGATATGATCCCCTTTTGCAACGTTCTGAGACAGAAAATCATTCAGCAAGCCAGATTCACTTAACAGCCACTTTGTTAACTTAATAACTGCAGCGATTTATTTAACAACAGTGGCAAGAAAGATTGGGGCAAAACTCACTTAGCAAATGTCTCACTTAGCAACAGAAATATTGGGCTCAATTGTGGTCGTAAGCCGAGGACTACTTGTATACAGTGGATGCAGATCTGGAAAGTAATTGTTTCCGAATAATCTAAACATGGTGAAATCATGAGTAGAGAGATAATGGATGGTCCAATAATACATATACGTTAACTGTACCATACCCGGCCTCTGAGAAGTTCATAGGCTGTAATTCCTAATGACCACCAATCAACAGCATAGGAATAACCTGAAGTTTTTGTGGCAGTAAACATCTCAGGTGCTGCAAAAAAAGAGAAATTTAAAATTTGCTTTAGGATGGAATATTCCACAAAATGACTGATTTTTCTTTCTATAGTCTAATCAGTGGTGGGATTCAGCCAGTTCTTTCTGGTTCAGGGAAACCAGTTGTTAAATTACCAATCTCCCGCTATCAAAGTGGATCCTGGGTGCTGAGCTGCAATGGAGAAACAAGCAATAGACTGGCCGTCGTGTGGGAAGGAGAAGGTAGCTTTCTCTCTTTCTTCTCCCTGCTCCTCCTCCTTCCCTTGCACCGGCCACTCCATTGTCCATTTCTCCGTTGCAGTGCAGCACCCAGGATCAGTGGTGGATTGCTCCCGGTTCTGTCCGGTTCTTGAGAACCGGTAGTAAAAGTGGCGGGAAGCTCCGCCCACCCACCTGGACATCATAAGGTGCGCACTCCCATTGCGAACTGGTAGTAAAAGTAAGTAGAACCCACCCCTGCCCAGGATCCACTTTCATAGCGGGGCGGGGGCCTAATAATTTGCCTGGCCAAACTAACTCCACAGTTTCCCCTACATTGGGCCCATCTTCGATCGTGCTGCCAACTTAATTATTTGCCTCTCTCACTTTTGCCCGCAGACTGACCAACACCCCTGCATGCAGCTCAACCGGGAGGGGGAGTCTCTCCCTCCACTTCCCGCCAATTCTTCACCTTCCCACATAAGCTCGGGAGCATCAACTTCTTGTCTCTATGGTAAACCCCCTCCCCTTGTTCCTCAGAAACCTCGCCTCTTAAAGGAGCTGCAAGTTCTCATAAGAAATTCTCTCTAGGGTTATCAATAAGCAACTCCAGAACATCTTCAGCTGCTGGGGAATAGAAGTCAGTGTGAACTTCTTCATTTATCCTTGTTGGCTTCCCTGAGATGTCTGGGAGAAATGCGTGAGAAGAGAATGCTGGGATAGATAATTTTTCATCAGATTCTCTTTCTTATGTGTGAATTATTAGAAAATAAGGAGAAACAATTTGCCTCTTTTTTCAATTGATTTTAATCTGGACCATCATACTGCTAACTCCTTAATAATGGCATTTGGAGGAGATCCAGTCAGACTTGAGGCAAAATTGCATCTCCCAGTAATGAAAAGAGGAAGTTTACTTTGTCTTATTAAATTTAAAAAAAAGAACATAAGAACCAACAGACTTTCCCAAGTTCTTCAAAAAAACATAGCTGTTCAGAAGGTCACTGCACACTGTTCTTTGTGCTCTTGAACTCTTTGCTTTTAATCTCGCATAAAGCTTTTCACACCTCTTTCTCATAACCTCCAGGTTACATTTTGACTAACTCATTAGCTATTTGATATAGAAACAAAAGCATGAAAATGGCCATAGAAATAGAAAGCATAGAAATGGCTTTACTATGTTGTTGTTGATGATGATGTTGAAGAACAGCACATTTTGCACCTGCTTAATAGGTACATGTCAGTGGTAGGTTGCTACCAGTTCGTTCCAGATCGGGGGAACCGGTAGCAGCAGCGGCAGGAGGCTCTGTCCGGAGGCTTCTGCACATGCGCAGAAGCGTCATACACAGGCATGCGCATGCACCCACAAGCGAACCAGTAGGAACGGGTTTTGAAACCCGCCCCTCGTACATGCATAATAAGATTAATCCTGAATGTAATTCAAGTCATCTGAAACATTCCTTCATATTTTAAAATGATTATTACTTTGAGGAAAATACTAGCTCTACCCTCTAGCCCTTTGAAATATTCCAACACACTTTAAAGTGAAATATAATATTGAGAGAGCAAATAGAATGGACAGGCAACTGACACTGACTTTATATAGTTTTAATCCAAGGTTAGTATTACCACTGGTCCCCTCCCTTAGCCACATTTCTGACAAGTGTATTGAACAAAAAATATCTGCAATTAACACTTTTTTGATTCTAAGAATATGTGGTGAATTGGTTATCTTCAGTAACTAACAAGAATAGAGGAAATAACAGTGGTTTGAGAGAAAGCATCAATAAATCCAATTAATGTCACTATGATATCCTGTTAGTATAATTTGGTATAACCTGTCAAAAGTAATATTTTGGCCCCATGTGTACCTTAACATCAATGTGGGATGGGTGATCTAATTATGACTCACATGGCGAAATGAAAGAACTCTATCTATAGTTTTGGATTAGATTTGTAGGATTTCATGTACCCTGTTTCCCCGAAAATAAGACCCAACCGGAAAATAAGCCCTAGCATGATTTTTCAGGATGCTCGTAATATAAGCCCTACCCCCAAAATAAGCCCCAGTTAAGATCGTCAGCAGATGGAGGCATTTAGTACTGTATTTCCCCCAAAATAAGACCTAACCGGAAAATAAGCCAAAATGCGTTTTTGGAGCAAAACTTGATATAAGACCCAGTCTTATTTTGGGGGAAACCTGATCAGCCATCCATCCAAGGACCTTTAAGGTTAGGAGAACTGAAGCCATTCCAAATCTAGCACATGTAAGGCCAGATCAGCCTTGAAGCATTTTCTGAATCAGGCTCCATTTCTTAAAACTGTTTTAATGTTTACTAAGAAGGAAGCTGAAAATGTCCATTAAAAACAAAACATTGTGATGCAAATAGCTTGGATCTATTGACTACTCACCCATGTATGGTTTTGTGCCAGCAATGTTGGTAATCTGTGTATCTTTAGTTATCACTGTAGCAATATTGAAATCTGTTACATGAACATGCCCTAAGAATAATATAAAACGATAAATTGTCAATCGAAAGTTTCTACCATATATAATTATAACAGCAGAGGGAAGCAAGGAATTTTGTGTGGATTATGTGCTATAGTCCAAACAATGAATATGTTGCCTTCTCATTCTTTAAAGTTTTACGGAACCATAATGCAAAATTTTGCATATGCAAAACCCTTAGAGAAAACCTAAGGAAGGAAAGGGACATAGGAAATCCTCATTCTTATAGGCCACCCACAATACTCATACTAATTTGTCATGATTAATCATTATCCCAAGCCATATTTTTGTCAACCACATGGAACAGCTTGAGAATATTTTTTATCAAGTTTTTTATTTTATATTACATATACATATCAATGCGGGAACAGTGTGACGCCTGGGTGCCATACACTTCAGTACAAATAAAATAATATTATTAATCATAGTTATCATATTCATCCAGCTTATATATTTCTAATAGTAATACACATTTATATCTAATTATAATCTTTCATTATTTCATATTGTTTAAACATACATAATACTACCGTTGTTCAATTTCTAAACCTCTCTCTTAATCATTACACTTATCTTAACAGTTTGAGAATATTGATCTGCTCCTATCTGAACCACTAGCTTAGCATAAAGTTTATTCATTAAGTATATCTTGTGCAGAAAAAGAGCGTGATGGAAAGAGCGTTATAGACCTTTCCTTCAGGAAAGATATATAGCATGGGAATTATTTTTCATATGGATCTATAGCTAATATCTCAAGTGACATCTGTGGCCAGAACTGCTTTTTAATCCATTTCAATTGGTATGCCAAAAGCATCTTTTCCTAGTAAGTAACAACAGTGATCCCTCTACTAATTAAATACTTGATTTTTTTGTAATGTGCTCCAAGTAGGGTTGCCCTTATAAAACAGAAAACATTGCTACTGTTTCTACTCGCCTGATGGACTTAGCCCAGTCATGTTCCCATATCATAGCTGCAGAATTCCCACTATCTATTCAAATTGTTTGGGAATCTCTATCTCTGACAGCAACAGGTTTATCTGTCTACTGTGTGAGGCCCAGGGGTGGGTTCTACTTACCTTTACTGCCGTTCACAAAGGGGCCGCACATGCGCAGATTGTCATTTATGACGTCTGGCTGGGTGGGCGGAGCCTCCCACCAATTTTACTACCGGTTCCATAGAACCGGACAGAACCGGGAGCAACTCACCACTGGTGAGGCCTGAATTTTTTATGATGAGGCTTCTCAATGGAATACTGAGGCTGCATTGTGCACAGGCTTTTAAGAAGGCTTTAAGAGCACAGCTTTTTAAATCAGCCTAATATGCCTAATATAATTGAAATTTTAACTTTCTTTTTAACATCTTAAATAGCGATGGCTTTATTTTAATCTCAACATGCTTGGATTTTATAGCTAATAAGCTAATAAGACTTTGGTAGTGAGTACCCTAGAAATCTCATCACATAAACTTAGCAAAACTACAGAAGATTGCGCTGGAGCTTGAAATATGATCCTCCAAGGAAGGAAAGCCACTGGAAAACAAGCAGTCTTAACAGTCTAAATATAGGTACATAGGCTGCAAAAACAATGTCTCAGGGGGAAAGAATTGAACAATAGGTAAAAGGCTTTTTGCACACATGAATGGAATTACACACCTCTCTTGCCATGGTTGGTGAAACACAGAGAAATTGCAAAGAGGAAATAGTTAGAATGACCTCTGAATCAAGGACAAACGGAGAAAAGACAATTCCAAATATACTCTAAAATAACCAGCTAAAATGCATTAAATTGAAAGCCTTTGCAAAAATACTGATTTCAATGGTCTCCTTTAAACCCATACCTTGGTCACAACATTGTCACAATAACAGCGCTGATTAAAACATTGGGGCAAGCAAATGTCATTGGGATTGTTGGTTCCTACTCTTTGACTAGTTGTAAACACTACCGTAGTTTACAATTAGTGTAAACACTATTTACCACAAAGTAGGCTATTCCTGCATTTCGTTTCATGGAGAACAGGCAAGAAAATGGTGCTAAGATCTGAAACAAAGCACTGTTGTGAAACTTTTACAGAAGAACCTAAATATTTTTCAAAAGAAAAATACTTCTATATTTAATCACCATACATAAGAATAACCCTTAGTATAAGCTTGCTCTTCAAGCATGTTCTTTGATAGAAATCACTGAGTTCTAAGGGGGCTGGGGTGGTTGGATCTCTGGCCCAATGAAAGACCTTGTTTAGATACTGTATTTTTCATCAACCTGTCATATTTTCATTTTTGTTCGGGGACATGTGAGGACATGTAGAATTAAGTGTGTCATCCAATACATATTTACCTGGAACTGTGTTCCACTGAATTTATTAAATTACTAAGAAATATATATTAGATTCGCCTTATTAAACCTTCAAGCCTCTGTGGGGGCTAAAACAGAGTAACAAAAGACAAAACATAATGTTTTCTATATCTTATTGCATAATATTACATAGCAGGGGTGAAATCTAAAATTTGTTACTACCGGTTCTGTGGATGTGGCTTGGTGGTGGTGGTGGGGGGTTAATGTGACTGGGTGGGCGTGGCCAATTTTTTTTTTTTTACTTTTAAAAGCATTTTTTCTACAACCTTAAGAGGTTGCACAAAAAAATGCTTTTAGAAGCCTCTGACAATCAGGCAACTCAACTGGGATCACCAGAGGCTTTTAAAGGCATTTTTTTTTCTTACAATCTCTTCGGCCAAAGAGGTTGTAGAAAAAAAATGCTTTTAGAAGCCTCTGACGATCCCAGCTGAGCCGCACGATCATCAGAGGCTTTTTTTTTTACTTTTAAAAGCATTTTGTCTTGTTCTACAACAAGAGGTTGTAGAAAAAATGCTTTTAAAAGTAAAAAAACCCAGCCTCTGATGATCGTGTGGCTCAGCTGGGCATGGTGGGGGGTGCAGCAATTTTTGCTACCGGTTCTTCGAACCACCCGCCACCATCGCTACCGGATCGGGCAATCCAGTCCGAACCAGGAGCATTTCACCCCGTTACATTGCCTTTGGTTTAAAACATGATGCAGCATGTGTCACAAAAATAATAACAGAACATTGTATAGCTCTCTTAACTGGATCACTAACTGGACTGCACTATCAGATTACTTGAATTTTTTAAAAAATAAAACCTATGATACATTACGAAATCCGTAGAAATGTATTATTTGTATCTTTAGTCAGCAAAAACACCAGAGCTAGGATAAAGGTTTGCCTCAACTTGTTTTCCATCTCACTAGAAGATGGCTTCATAAAGTCTGTCATGATCCTACAGAAAACATTATATTTTGCTATACAGTTGCAAGCATATACATGTTCCTGCAGCCAGATATAATTGTCACTTACCCTGCTCATCCAGCAAGACGTTATCTGGCTTTATGTCTCTAAAATAGAATTTTTAAAAAGAGAAAATATATCAATAAAGCCAAAATTATGACAATAAAGGTCTAGGGTAGGATATAAGAGCTTCATAAATTATCTCTGCTTTATTTCTGGGTTTGATTTAAAAATATGCAACAACCTGCTGAAGACTCTTATAAAATTTACAATAGAATAAAATATGATCCACCATTCAAGAACAATACTAATAAGAGGGAAAAAACTTTGAGAGATGGGTTTTTTTAAAAAAAAAATACACCATACTGAATATTTGATGAAACACATTTAATTTGGGTTTTGAAAAAAAAAGTTATTCTGTAGGCTGAAAAGTATATCTGTAATAAACTCCATGTCAGGTTACAGGGGATCACAAGTTATAAGACTTTGGTTATAGCCACTAATTCCTTTACTGAATTGTGCACTGTTAGATTTTGGTTGCAAGTATATATTTTTAAAAACAAGAAAGGATTGCTTCATGAATTCCCAAATGAACCTTTTGGGACATGTGATTTAAATATACAAACCAAAAGATTAGTCAGATTGGCATTAATCCTGATTATCTATTTTTCAGAAGTATGACATCAACAATTCATGTTGATTATGAGATAATTCAGAGAATCCATATTAAGATCATGCAAAAAAATAATAATAATCCAGGATATAAATGGAAAATTAAAATACTATATGAGAAGGCTATTGTGAAACTCTTCCACTCAACGGCCTCAATAAAAAGGTCCTTATTTCCTAAGTAAGATCAATAATATAGAACATTTCAGTATTAGCAGGCACTAAAAATTATATTGAACCGAGACTAATGAGCTAATTCATTTTGTACAGACAAATGTACAAATACAATATACCTCTCTGTTTTGATTAGATATTATCAAGATGGGATTTACATGGACACAAGTATAAAGCTTTTTTGGTGATATTATACAAGTGGCCTACCATTGACTTTTCTGGCAACATTTCTGATTCTATTTTATAGACTCCATTGATCTCCTGTTCAATAGATGGTCCAACCTTGTATAGCTTCTGAACACAAACAAAAAATAGCATGCTATATGCACATATTTGGTATAATGGTTAAAATGTTGGACTAGAAACTGGGAAACTATGGGTGATAGCCTTCTCTTAATCCCTCACTCTCTCTCACCTCAACCTACCTCACACTTTTCGCCTTATTATTGTGGCGAAAATAGGAGGTAGAGGCATTATATATACTATCTGGAGTTGTAAAAACATAAAAGTGGAATATAAATACAAAAATAATTATTATAGGATTACAATAGGAAAACAAATGTCAACAACATTAAAATTCAATTTTATATCCTGAGAGACAAAGGAGCAAGATATAAATGTTAATTTATTTTTCAAGTAAAGATAAGCAGAAAATTCAATTGAAACCTTAGTTATATTAATCATACAAACAGGTATTGCGTAACACAAGTATTTCAGGACAGCAGAGGGGAGGGAGGGAGGGGAGAGAGAAATTTAAAAATGTTTTTAAATAAAATATTACATATGTATGTATGTATACATACATAGATACATACACAACACACACATATAATCATAAAACTATCATATACATAATTCATATATACATGAACTATATTACTGATCACTGTATATTCATGATTACCAAATAGACAGTGACATGCCCTTTATCCAGAGGGAGATGAGGAAAAAATAATTTAATTTTTAACAAGAAGACAATTGCTGGTCCCAGTTGTGGTTGTTAAACAAGGACTACCTAATTGTAATTGTCTTAAGCAAAGCAGCCAGTAACCATGACTATGCCTATTATCTTACTTCAGTTATCCTCTGCTTTACAGACCTACAAAGACTGTGAATGTGAGGATTGCTTGCAAAGTTACTTTTTCATCACTGTCATAACTGCAAACAATTGCTAAATAAGGACTACCTGTACAGTATTTTCGGGAACAATATAGTTGCATTACATATTCTAAAACAGATGCCTTAAAATACTCAGAGGACAATACACTTAACTGATTTTTATTTTCTGGCTGCCTATTCTAGGCAAAAAGAAAAGAGGTTATGTGAGAGCCGTGGTGGCACAGGGGATTAGAATGCAGTATTGCAAGCTAATTCTGCCGACTGCCGGGAGTTCGATCCTGACTGGCTCAAAGTTGACTCAGCCTTCCATCCTTCTGAGGTCGATAAAATGAGGAACCAGATTGTTGGGGGAAATATGCTGACTCTGTAAACTGCTTAGACAGAGCTGTAAAGCACTATGAAGCGGTATATAATTATAAGCGCTATTGCTATTTATATGTGTGCCAGGACCCTCTGTGGAGGAACCCTCTGAGCTTGCCTGTGGAAAGGAAAGACAGAATCCTTCCAAGCACTGGAAATGTTTGGAAATCCATCCTTTCACTGAGAATTAACAAGTGTGACTGTTTCACTGGAAGAAAGGAATATGGGAGCAAGCAAGTCAAGAAGTAAAAGAAATAAGGAAACATTCTATTTCTATTTAAATAAAGAAGATAACTTGATTCTCTAACCACCAGCCCCAATATTTTGAGGAATATGATTTACACCCAGGCTTTTTGATAGTTGATTAAAACTAGTCGAGCCGGAGTAATTTAAATCACAGACGGGGTTATAGGAGTCACTGTTTTCTTAATTTAAAACCTTCTTGCAATGCTGTATTGAGGCTATAATTAGTTCACAAGGAGAGGGGCAGGGAAGAATCCCTATTTAATTTTTTCTTCTTTATTTTGCAATTAATAATCAATGAATAAACTGAAACAATGTGTCACTGATCCAAATTAACTTTTTCTGTGGCTATATTTTACTAAAGAAAAAAAAGAATTCTGAAATCAGATTACATCTCCTTTCTTTTTCTTTTGGAAAAAGAAAATTCACTTTCAATTCTCTCCTAGGTACAGCAAACCTCCAATGTAAATAAAAGAGTTTTGTTAAAACTCTTTGTTATTTTTAAAAAGAACATTGCCATATGGTTTTAGGAATATTTAAGATATTTACTATTTCAGATCTAATTGCAACTGAGAAGTTATCAGGAAGATGAGAGTGAAAATCTAATCCTAAATGTCATGAATTAGCTTTAGCTTTTTTTTTTTACAATTACTAATTACAGTCATTTAATCTAAGAAACGTTAAGGATGTTTCCAGACTGGATTGGGGGGGGAAAGTATATTTGGGCCTTTCTCTGATTTCATGTACCATATCTGCAAACTATTTCTGTGAGAGGACATTTTGTAAGATGTGTTTTGTTTGTAGCCTAGGTAATTTTTTTTTTTTCAGTTTTTCAAGATATAAGTGAGAACATTCCCAGAAAAAAAAATCAATGACACCACTTACATACTGCAACAATATGGGGGAAATGGCTTCAGATAAAATGTTCTTTAATTTGATTTTTATACAAACTCTTCCTAACCAGGCACATAAGACACACACAACAATTGTGTGAAAGAGAAACTCAGGCGGCAGTTTGAATGGTGTTGCTAGGATCCTTCCAGATGTGAACTCCCTCCTTCCATTTTTCTTTCAGAATCTAACATATTCCTCAAAGAATGTGACAAAGGAATATTTTGTCATTCTCTGTTCATGAAGGTACTTCAGTGTTAATAAAGCACAGAGCTACTTATTCATTTTCTCTGTAGCTCTGTAGGACTTTAAAATGTTTGTAAATGGATATCATTGGTTCATGTGACTGATGAGGTGAAGTGGGTTTCATAATGAGAGGCAAGCAAAAATACAGCATTAGTCATGAAAAAAAGAGGAACAATGCTCGGCTGTTCTGAATCTGAAAGGCCTGAGGCTGTGGAAAGTCAAACCTTGTCCCACTGTGTCAGTCCCAGAAGTACATCACAGGGTGTACGGATTGACTGACTCATACAGTATAGAGCTACATGCACTGAAACATCCTCCCTGCAAATGGGAGGATTTCTTCATAGGATATACCAACAGTGTTTCTCTCACCTGTTCCAATTTACCATCAATGCTACTTGGGGACTGTTCACACTTTTCAAACAAGAGGCCTTATAGTGACTCAGATTTGCCCTGACTTAGGTTTTCATGTTATCAGAAAGGACTGGCATTCTGACTAGGCCCTGTGACTAATGTCAATGGCGGAAAAAGAACATACTGTACCTGTTCAGTGCTGGGCTTCAGGGAAACCAAAATCTTGCCTTAGGCATAGAAGGCAGCTGGGTGACCTTGAACCAGCCTTTTCTTTTCAGCCGTAGGAAGAAGGCGGCTATGGCACAGCCCTTCCAAATACTGCTGCCAAAAACCTGCATGGGCTTATTCTGCTAGGACCGACACTAACTTTAATAGCAATAGCACTTAGATTTATATACCGCTTTACAGTGCTTTACAGTCTTCTCTAAGTGGTTTACAGAGTCAGCATATTGCCCCCATCAATCTGGGTCGTCATTTTACCCACCCCAGAAGGATGGAAGGCTGAGTCAACCTTGAGCCTAGTGAGATTTGAACTGTCAAATTGCAGGCAGCCAGCAGCCAGCAGAAGTAGCCTGCAATACTGCACTCTAACCACTGCGCCACAATGGCTCATATGAGCCACATACGAAAAGTATACATTTCGGTGATATCTGATTTCCAACTCAGTAGGCTCTTATGTATGGTTGGGATTTCTATTCTCAAACGACAATGAAATCATGTATCCAAACAAAAGACAATTTCATCTCAGGATAATTCTTGGTGATCTCTGTTAGAAATAAAATATATAAATAAACCTGGAGGAAGAGGACTGGATTAAATACATTATAATGTAACACATTATAATGGAACACCAGAGCATATTTCTAAACTTATCTTTATTTCTGTATATTTTGAATGTGCACCGTTTGCTAACTTTTTCTCAAGTAATATTTCAGTTCAATTATTGTTCTTAAATAATTGCATACAGATTGTCTATGCAGGAGTGTATGTTTTTATGTGTTTGCATATATTTGTATATGTCTCTGAATGCATGTATATATTTAAATTTGTAATT